ATTCCACATTTACTTAGTCCTATAATAGCATTTATTAATTTTCATTTGATTTAAGAAAGTTTTGAAAAAATCAGATTTAATCAGAACTGAAAGTTTGTGGTAATTTTTAAGACTTGATTTGCTTTTTACTATCTATAAAATCAGCTAAATAAATAGTAATATAAAAAATTTAGTGCCCTCACAATGACTAAAAACATTCATGTACAGACTTAAAACTAACATACTAACCATAAAAAATGATTAAAGCATGTCTTTGTGTAGATATATTTTGTTAGCGTCATTTTATTGTTAAATGTACATAACAAAAAAGAGAAACTGTCCATGCAAAATGCTATTATTCAGATATTTCGGTAATTCAACTGGCCTCATCCTAGTCTTTCCAAGTAAATAAGTACCAGGATGTTTTTCCATTTCAAGAGCAAGGAAACAAACTAAAACTGTGGAACTCTAAAACTTTCAAAGAAACAAGAGTTGAGTAATAATAAAAGAAAGAACATCAGAGATACAGAGGTAGGGTTAGGTGAGTCAGTGGTAGAACACATATCTAGCAGGTGGGAGGGCCTCTGTTCATCCCCAAAACTAAAAAAGGAGAAATACAAAGGTGATGTAATTAATGTGTTTTTGTGATACCATGTACTGAGGGGTATATTTCTGAAATGACCACAAAGGCATTCAAGAGAAACATGAAACAAGAGCCCTCAAAAAAGTTGTTGCTAAGAAAAATGGAATTTTCTCTTCAATATAAAACAAATACATTACCCGTGTACTTTCATAACACTTACTTAATTATGGTATATTTAGAAAATGGTGGGGTTTTTTTAAATCATTACTGTCATTCTTAATTACTTCAAGTCAGTATTGAACCAAAAATAATCGTAGATAAAATCTAATTTTATAGAAAAAACTTGAATATAATTTTAACGGAACAGCAAGCCATTAAAATTATGTATTTTGACTAATAGATACCTTGTTCAGACATCTATCAAATCTTGAGTCTCATCCAGAGATGAGATTCCAGTTGATCTTTTAAACCAGATCTGCTGATGCGAAGTTTTTCCTTTTGGAGGGCAAAATTTTATGACTGTGCCTCCTTTATATTATTACAAGTCAATTCTAGTTTTAGAATAAGCAGTCCTCTCTCTTTTAAAGCAAAGGACTACAAATTGCTTTTTTAAAAATTTGTTCTGGTGCCTCTAAAGAGTAAACATTGAGAAATCTTAAAGGCAAGGCCTAACAAACAAATTCCTTCAAGGCCCTCCTTTTTCAAAGATCGCCTCTGTCGGTAGTGTGGAAGCCCATAGCTCCTCCTGGATCGTCTTGTGGAAAAGGGTTGGCCTCCTGGAACATTTTCTTCCACTTGTTACCTGTTTATAAAACTTTCCTAAGGTATTAAGCAGTAAGAGAAAATGTCTTTAAGTCGATACCAATATGTGAATAATCGTCGATGTGTAACAGGCAGAACTTTAGAGAAGCTGGGACGACTCTGGATGTCATGTGAATCCTTAGGTCTAAGAACATCAGAAAGAAAAGTCTAAGCTGTAATTATTTATAGTCTGTGGACCTTGGGCCGTAGATGTTTGCAGCTTAAAAAAGATGCTCCACTTAAATTCAGCTTTTCATGCCAAAGTACTGTCCTTCTGAGTCAGAATTTAGTCAGCAGCAATGTAACTCATGTACATTCAAACCCTAGGACTAGGGCTGGTGGAGTAGCTCAAGTGGGTAGAACACCTGCATAGCAAGCATAAAGCCCTGAGTTCAAACTCCAGTACCACAAAAAAAAAAATCCTAGGACTTCATAGAACCATGGAAAGCATTTTCATGAGCTTTCATTGTCAGAATGTAGACTATGTGTGTGTGTTACTGGGATTTGAACTCAGGACTTGGCACTTGCTAAGCAGGTCCTCTACCACTTGAGCCACACTCCCATCCCTTTTTTTTGCTTTGGTTATTCTTCAGATAGGGTCTTCTTTTTGCCTGTGACTAATTCAGACTATAATCCCCCTTACCTATACCTCTAGTATAGCTGGGATTACAAGCACACACCACCACACCCAGCTAGTTCTTTTGAGATAGATTCTTGCTAACTTTTTGTTTAGGCTTTTTCTGCCTCTCAATTAGCTAGTATTACAGGCATGAGCCACTATACCCAACCTATACAATAAACTTTGTGAGAATTTAAACACTCCCTAGGAAACTTCTTATATCATTTAATTAAACAGCCTCAAAAATCTCTGTTCTTATTCTAAACCTGTCATTTTGTGACTTTAAAATGTTTCATTTTTCTTCTGAGGATGCATTAAAATTGGTCCCTTCCAGAGATAAAATTTATTATGAAGTTATGTTGCTTAATGCTGTGTGGCACTGACCCAGTATCAACAGTAAGATCAATGGCAGAGAATGATCCAGAACTAGATCCTTATGTGTGGGACTTAGCAATAAATCTTGCATGATCCAGCAATGCAGAACAGATGTTTTATGCAAATGTAATTGGAATAATTTATTATTTTAGTGTCTTCTCTTCATTTTATACCAAATTAATTCCAAATAAGTTACAGAATTAAATGTGAAATAGTGAAACCACAAAGTACATCGAAAAGAATTCAGTTCTTTTCGATGAATATTTAGCGGTTTTTACAATGAAAAGAAGACCAAAATATACAAGTAAAGGAGAAGCTGCAAAAAGACAGATGGACAGATTTCCCTAAATTAAAAAACCTCTCTAGATGAACACACACCACACACTAAAATTAAAACTTAAAAATCACACAGAAAACATACTTTCAACCAACTGAAGAAACAATGGGTTTCTGTACCTAATGTTAAAAATCCTTTTGCAAATTTACTAAACACCAGTACTCTAATGGAAAAATGTGCAAAAGACAGAGTAAAAACTGCCAGAAAAATGTGAAAATATACTCAACTTTATTGATAAATAAAAGTTAGTGGTTTATTTATCAAGTTGGCAAATTTAACAAAATAGTAATTCTAAGTTGTTGTGAGTGTGACAAAATATTTTATTGGTAGGAATTTAGGGAGAAAAGTTGACACTTTGTATCAAGGTCCTCAGAAACATCCATTTGAAAGAATGGCCAAGATTTGTGTGTAAGGAAATCAAAACAATGGTATTGCTAATTTTGAAAACAAACTAAATTCCCAAGAACAGAGCTATTGTTAAATTAATTTATACTTCATTTTTTTTTCCATTTTTCTTTTATTATTCATATGTGCATACAAGGCTTGGTTCATTTCTCCCCCCTGCCCCCACCCCCTCCCTTACCACCCACTCCGCCCCCTCCTTCTCCCCCGAATACCCAGCAGAAACTATTTTAGCCTTATTTCTAATTTTGTTGTAGAGAGAGTATAAGCAATAATAGGAAGGAACAAGGGTTTTTGCTGGTTGAGATAAGGATAGCTATACAGGGCATTGACTCACATTGATTTCCTGTGCGTGGTGTTACCTTCTAGGTTAATTCTTTTGATCTAACCTTTTCTCTAGTACCTGTTCCCCTTTTCCTATTGGCCTCATTTGCTTTAAGGTATCTGCTTTAGTTTCTCTGCGTTAAGGGCAACAAATGCTAGCTAGTTTTTTAGGTGTCTTACCTATCCTCACCCCTTCCTTGTGTGCTCTCGCTTTTATCATGTGCTCATAGTCCAATCCCCTTGTTGTGTTTGCCCTTGATCTAATGTCCACATATGAGGGAGAACATAGATTTTTGGTCTTTTGGGCCAGGCTAACCTCACTCAGAATGATGTTCTCCAATTCCATGCATTTACCAGCGAATGATAACATTTCGTTCTTCTTCATGGCTGCATAAAATTCCATTGTGTATAGATACCACATTTTCTTAATTCATTCGTCAGTGCTGGGGCTTCTTGGCTGTTTCCATAACTTGGCTATTGTGAATAGTGCCGCAATAAACATGGATGTGCAGGTGCCTCTGGAGTAACAGTCTTTTGGGTATATCCCCAAGAGTGGTATTGCTGGATCAAATGGTAGATTGATGTCCAGCTTTTTAAGTAGCCTCCAAATTTTTTTCCAGAGTGGTTGTACTAGTCTACATTCCCACCAACAGTGTAAGAGGGTTCCTTTTTCCCCTCATCCTCGCCAACACCTGTTGTTGGTGGTGTTGCTGATGATGGCTATTCTAACAGGGGTGAGGTGGAATCTTAGCGTGGTTTTAATTTGCATTTCCTTTATTGCTAGAGATGGTGAGCATTTTTTCATGTGTTTTCTGGCCATTTGAATTTCTTCTTTTGAGAAAGTTCTGTTTAGTTCATGTGCCCATTTCTTTATTGGTTCATTAGTTTTGGGAGAATTTAGTTTTTTAAGTTCCCTGTATATTCTTGTTATTAGTCCTTTGTTATTAGCACCTTTGTGCTTGGTAGGCAAGAGCTCTACATCTGGTGCCACCCATCCTTTTTTGTTTTAGTTATTTTTCAGATAGGGTCTCGCACTTTTTGCCTGGGCTGGTCTCAGACCTAGTCTTCCTACCATTGTTTCCACATAGCTGGGATTATAGACATGTACCTTGCCTAGCCTGGTTATAATTTTATACCTATCCATATTTCATGTTGGCATTTATATATTGGTTATGATTTCATAAGTACTTGTATTTTATAATACTGACATTTTCTTGATTGTATTTTCTATGAATAGAAAAAAGACTAGAAAGATATAAATATACATATTAATAGCACTTATCACTGAGTGGGAATAGTATGGAATTTTTTGTTCTTAATGTTCCATATTTTCTGTAATGATATGAATTATTTTAATAAAAATATTGTTATAAAGTTGAGATATGTTATTTTCATTAATCCACACTAGAAGATACCTTACAGACACAAAAATTTTTTAATCTGTCCCATTTATTATACAGAACAATAATATGTTGTGTAACCTTTTTTGTATTGGTCATGGGCAGTGCTGTATACACACAGAAAATGTGCATCATGTGTAAGCGTTCATTTATTCAGTGATAATTCATTTTATTCTCTAGAGTATGGACTTCACTAACAGGGAACATTCAAGGCATACATCTATTAACAAATTGGAATATGAGAATGAAAGGCTCCAAAATGATCTTGCAAAATACATGTCAATGGAAAATCATCATGGTCTAATCAAAACACCTATGAAGAAACAGGAAGATATGCCTATCAAAACCAAATAAAAGTGGAAAAAAATGAAGATAGGTAAGATAGCTCCATTATACAGGGAAGAAGTTTAAAAACTTTAAATTGACATTTATTTTTAAGCAATTCAAATTATGACTACATATTTTACAGTTTTAAATTTATTTTATAGTGATAATGCAGTAGCCCAGGTACATGTTTTATAAGAAATTTGTGTTGTCAGTAGCTTTCAAGATGTTGCTACGTCTGAGGTGGGTGGAATGTTACATGGAACTTAGCTTGTTAGTCACCTCAGATCATTCTTGCAAGCTGATGTGGTATAGAGATAAACAATCTTACTTCTTATGCCCTAGTAACAGAGAAAATTATAATTTAATATGTTGGACATACTGTTCAAACAAATAGAAAGTATGGGAAGATGTCACTTCTGACTTATCCTCAATAATGTATATAGTATATATTGATCTTCTAGCCATGATAACAAACTTGTTGATCACTTCATAGGGAAGAAATGTATGGTTGTTAAAAAGAGGTTTTTTTCTGAGCATAGTTTATGAGAAATCAATGTCTATTGTCCATTTTGATCCCATGTTCTTTAAAATGTCTTAGTTCAAATTCTAAGTAAATATGTGAACCATAAAATAGGCTAATTGACTCAATTTTAATAAACGATTTATGGAGTCAGAACTGTCTCTACAGGCCTTTCACTATTAAACCAAACTTAGAAAACACTCAACAAAACAAACAAGTTTCTTTACCACAGATTTTCAGTCATTAGTAATTTATGTTGTGAGTTTGTATGTAGCACTTCCCCACTTACTCAATATCAGAGTTATTAACCTTCTTTTGTGCTCAGAAAAGGTGAATTAAAGAGCCCAGACCCAACTTCAATGCAAGTCTTGCTCAGAAACTCAAAATACTTAGCATGAGAAACCTTACATACTATTTTCATATAAAAGAATTCATATCTACAACCTTGGGAATTGGCTTAACCCTCATCACCCTCAATTTCCTATCTTAACAAATAAGGACAGTAATTATACGGAGCTTTGTCGGAGAAAATTCATGTAAAATAGATTATTATTGATACTATTCTAAAGTATGATAATAGCAATAACTCCTTAACAACTCATAGTACCTAAAATGTATATTTTGGTGAATGGACTAAAGGCTGAGTCTGACATTTCCTCAAGGATAGTCATGTGGGGGAAGGTGATACCTGGCTCATCTGGATAACTAAGCATGCCTAGTTCTTCAGGATAAACCCAAAGTCCACAAGAAATACAGAAAAATGTCTGTTCCACATTCCTGTGGCTACAGATCTGCTCTCCTCTTTCACCTTCTGAGTCCATATGTGTCAGAAGACAGATTCAAGTCTGCTACTTGAAACAACTATTCAAAGTGCTAAATTAATAACTCCTTTTCAGGTGCTAAGGAAGGGAAGAAGGTTGTGGGGAGAATGGAAGAGACGCTTGGGCCACAGCCCCAGACCAGTTCTCTGGCAAATGTGCTCATGTTGATTAGCCAACCCAACTGAAAACCTTTCCAAAGGAGTGTGATCTTGATATCAGTGTAAGAATATATGGTCTGACATAGAATAAACGCTTTGCAAAGTGTTCTCTACTTCCAGTTCTCATGGTTCCCATGTGAGAGGGAGGCAGTCAGTGCTGAACACACTGAGGGTACAGAACATTGCTTCCTGTAGCCTTGCGAAGGTAACTCAAAGTTAGATGACATAGCTAGCAGGTGATATTATTCAAGCAAAGACACAGTTACTCTGTCTTTTATTTTTTTAAGTAGTATTTTTCTTGTTTCAGTTGCCCCCTTTTTTCTCTTTGTCAGGCAGTACAGAATGTGTTAAAAGTGCCTAACAAACCAAGACAGTAGGAGACAGACAGCAGCATAAGTGGTAGAATGCACAGCAGGAGACCACCTTAATAAGCAGTTTGGATGGCTACTCCTGCTGCAGAGCTTGTGTCCTGCCAGCTTCATTTGTTGAAACCTTCATTAAATTTGTTTTAATGCCTCATCTGATTTCAGTGTTTGCCAGTGACCTGGTTTTTAAAAGAAACATCATTTCAGCTGTTCTGAATAAATTATTACCATGTAAAGCCCACTGCGGGAAGAGTTTTTGAGATGTAAGGCCACTATGGACCCTACGGTGGAGGACCATAAAGCAGACACCTCTTAATCTTAGCAAGTGAAAAATGAAATCTTTCTTTCCCTCTCCTCACAGCTCAGTGAAGTCAAATTGTAAAAGGCATAAATCAATCAGAAAATAAAAGTCATCTTTCCATGTCAATAGCTAATGCAATAAAGTCTTATTAAAACTATTTTAAGGAAAAACCTTTTAGGCAAAAATGCACGAAATTTTAAAGTCTACAAATTCTTGTTTTTGCCTGAGAAAAATTTGTGTACCACATTATTTAAATAATCTTTTGTTCACTCTTAATTTTTATTGTTTTTCACTCCTGTGATAAGTTTTTAATGTTCACTCACATAAAATGTGAAGCATTTTAGAGTGTTCCAAAGCATTTATTTTCCAGTATACTGGAACTGCACTATGATAGGATGTTTCAAGTATTATTCTTAAAAGTTAGTTTTGAAGTTTCAGGATAATTTATAAGCTAATTTAGAGTAGTGGTATGTAAAACTACTAATGTACAACTAATTTTAATTTTTCTTATTTTGCAATAGAGTTGGTCTATATAACATTCATATTTAAATTTATAGTTTGAAAAGTTATATCATGATGTATTGGAGTAATCACAAACATTAATCATTAAAATTGCTTTGATGAAGCTAATAAATTAAAATTTTCCAATACTAAAAAGCCACAAAATCAGTAGGTTTATCGTAACCACTTGTAAGAGCCCTTGCAAAAGAATGAGTAGACATTCAGGAAGTCAAAAGCATGCTGAGAAAATTCTGTGCTGTAGTATTGCCCAATAAGGAGCAAAACATAGCAGGCTGAGAGGTTGTAGGCTTGTGATGAGATATGTTCTGCGCTGAGGACATCATCCCATAGCCCAGGGGAAAGACACTGGGGCAAGAACACTGAACACTGCAGCACTGACTCCTGTCTCAGGTAGGCGGGTTCTGCTTCCCAGCAAAGCAAATCTAGCAAGGGCTTTGAAGTTGAAGTAGGACCTATGGAAAAGCTAACTGAATAGATCATCTCGTTAGGGATATTAAACCCAGTGAAATAATTTTTAAGGTAGCTTTTAAACTGATATATGTAGCATTTTATGAAGATGGTTTTATGAAGTATTTGAATAGCTATATTCTAGGAAGAAGAATTTTTCAGGTATAAAGATGATTTGAAACAAAAGTAGTCTTTCCTTTCAATCTTGTTATTTTATTGATGTTATAATAAAAAGAATGTTCCTATATAAACTTTAGTAATTAACACCATAAAACTGTACACATCCATAGCAAAATGGATAATTGAGATAATTATTTAGATAATTTAGAACAAATAATACTTTGCCTGAATCACTCTATAATTGAGATTACAAAGAGATAACATATTTCTCGATTCACTTCTTTAATTATCTTGTTTTTCCCACTGTGCTCTGAAGTGTAGATAGTAGTCTCACTGAAATTAAAAGGTTCAGCTAGAGATTATATGCAGGTGTACTATTCAATTGTTATCATTCTATTTGAATTGTGATACATTTCATCTTACTGAAATAACCATGTTATTTCAGTGTAATTTGCTGTTCTGTTTCCATGGTAATTATGGTTAGGAAGAAAGGGGAAAAGATTTTTTTCAAGATAGGTAAAAAATGGAACCATGTAGTACTTGTTTTTGTGTACTAATTTATGGATACCTCACTTAAATTTACTGCTATTTGTACGCACAGATTTGAAAGTGTTTGCATAATAAGAAACAAGTCTATATAGATTGGTTTTTGGGTAAAAACAGAGAAGTCTTCTGTGTATTTTTTTCAATGTGTCAAATTAAAATAGAAGACTTTGGAAATGTTGATACGTGTGGGAATCTAGATTATTAAAGAGATTTTAATGTTTTGTGGCCTTTGTTAATTTGATTAAATGTGAACCCCACTTTCATAAAAGATACTTATTTAATCCCAAACAGCCCATGTTGTTAGGACTTCTTCCTAAAATTTTAGGGTAATTTGACTTGTTTCTTTGTTTTATTATGCATTTGTCTGGTCAGCAAATCAAAATTAAAAATTTCACTGATTGGCTTTTTTTAGTCTTACCTTCTACCCTGTTTTAACACAAACAATAAATTCCATACTATGCCTTTCATACTAATTGTAGAGTTTGAAGTCAAGAAAACAGGTTTGAGTCCAAAATCATCACTTCCTAGCAATTCTTGTTTAAAATGTAAATGATGGAATAAATAAGCTAACTTTTTAATATAACATCTACCTTGTTTGAGTTATTAATGAAGATCAAGTGAGCTGGAGGTGTGACTCAAGTAGTAGAGTAACTGCCTCGCAAGCTAGAAACCCTGAGTTCAAACCTCAGTACTGCAAAACAGTTTTTTAAAAAGATCAAATGTGGCTCACACCTATAATCCTAGGTACTCGGGAAGCAGAGATCAGGAAGATAGGGAAGCCAGCCCAGGCAAATAGTTCAAGAGACCCTGTCTCTAAGAAACCTTTCACAAAAAAGGGCTGGTGGAGTGGCCCTGAGTTCAAACCCTAGTACTGCTAAAAAAAAAAAATCAAATGAGTTTAGACATAACACCTAATCTTTATTCAGTGCTAAATATGTGCCAGACATTATGTTCTACGCATTTTTACATATATAATTCATTCAACTCTCATAACAACCTCTTTCTTATAAGTGAAAAAATTAATGTCACAGGGAGATAAAATCAACTGCACACAACTTATTAGTGGAGGAACTTATGAAATGATGTAAATCAAAAGCACCCTATAAATTATTAATCCCTATAAAAGTTATTATAGGAAGAACTGTTTCAGCATCAAAAAGTATAATTCTGTTAAGAAAGCCAGTGAAGTACAATGGGGAACAACAACAACAAAAGTATCTGTTTAGAACTGTCAGTTCCAGTGGTCTTAACTGTTTTGAGATTTCTCTGAAATTTACTTCAGGTATTTAAAGACCAAGAGATACAAAATTAAAACAGAAGGGGGAGCAATCAAGTGCAATAAGGATAAGCAGAATATCTTTAAAAATTACCAGGTTGACTGCATCCTTTGCCATTCTAAGTCTTTTAAGTGAAGCAGAAATTACTCAGGAAGGTCATTTTCAAAGAAACACCCAGATAACAAGCCCGATGTTTTGCTGTGTTTCATCCTCCTTAGACTTCAAAAAAATTAAAAACCTCAGCTAATAAACAAACATGTGTCCTTGGTAGCAACAGTGACAACAATTCCTCTCTTTTAGACTTAGCCAAGATTGCGAGCCAAATAGCAGTGCAACTCCTCCATTGTCACCTTTGATATTTCAAACCAAAGAAATGGCAAGTCCTCTATTGCTGCTGATGAAGTATTTCCTCTGGTGAGTTGCTGTGCTGTATTTTCCCTTTTAGCATTGATTACTTTTACACTGACACCAACATAATGATGTACATAGTAGTTTAAAAATGTTATTTCTTGCCAGGCACCAGTGACTCATGCCCATAATCCTAGGTACGTAAGAAGCTGAAATCAGGATGATTTCTGTTTGAGACCAGCCCGGGCAAATAGTTCACAAGAACCCCGCATCCAAAATAACCAGAGCACAATGAACTGGAGGTGTGGCTTAAGCCGTAGGGCACCCACTTTAGCCCTGAGTTCAAACCCCAGTCCCAGTAAAAAAAAATGTTAATTTCTTGGCCAGATTCGGTGGTTCATCCCTACTCAAGACCAGTCTAGGCAAAAAATTAGTGAGACTCCATCTTAACCAATAAACTGACCATGGTGGCATGCCCCTGTCATCCCAGCTGTGGCCATAGGTAGGAAGATCTAAGTCTGAGGCTAGCCCAAGGGCAAAAACTTGAAAAATAACCAATACAAAACACGGCTAAGCATGGCTCAAGTGATAGAGGGCCTGCCTAGCAAGTATAAGACCCTGAGTTCAAACCCTAGTACTACCAAAAGTCACTTCTTGAGTAGGATTCTAAGATGGGTCTGTGAATCATTTGGCCATATCTGTCTATAAGATGAAAAGAAACATAACATTTTCTGAAGTATTTCAGCCAGTGGTTATTAATCTCCAGTGCAGGACAGAATCATTGGTGATGCTTTTTAAAAATGCAGTGTTCGAAACACGCCTGCATTTTAAGGAGCTGCAAATAGCTTTTTGTTTCTGCTTAAAAGTACCTTTTTATTGACTTGGACTTACATACAGAAGTGTGCAGATCATAAACAAGCAGCTTGATGAGTCATCACAAAGGAAACACATCAGTGCAGCTACCACTGGGTAATGTAGAGGACATGACCAGCACTCTCAAGCCCCACTCAGCCCCTTCCTGTCAAGACTGAACGTCATCAGTCAGTTGCCTTACACACTGCAAATGCTGCATGTATGCTTTTGTGTCTGACTTCTGTTACTTAACACTGTTTCCGAGATTCATCATCACCTGTGATGTTTTATATTTCCATTATAGTTGGCTGTAGTTTATTGGGTTTTGAGTCTCTTTAGTATTCCATTGTACACAAATAGTTCACACAAAGGTACTATAATTTATTCATTCTGCTTTTGACGGACTTTTAAGTTATTTCTAGTTTGGGCTCTGTTACAAGTAATACTTCTAAAAATATTCTCATACATGTCATTTGGTACACGTGTACACATTTCTATTGAGCATATATCTAAGAGTGGAATCACTAGGTCATATGATATGTATCTCAGCTTTAAGAGGTATGGCCAGACAGTTTTCCTATTTGAGCCAGTGAATACACTAGCAAGTAGCATACAGGAGTTTTCCTGTATTTTTCTAAAGCTTCTTGTTACTGATCTTTTTTATTTTAGCCATTATGATCAGTGCATAATAAGATCCTATTGTGGTTTAATTCATATTTCTCTAGTGACTAATGAGGCTGAGCACATTTCCATATTATGTTTATTGGCCATTTTGATAGCCTTCTTTGTAATATGTCTGTTCAATCTCCTTGTCTAATTTTCTATTGGATTATTCTATTCTTATTGATTTGGATCTTTACAAGATTTCTGTCAAGCAGTTGAAAAAACAGTGATAAGCTGTGAACTACTCTGTTAGTCTAACATCAGATGGTCTTAGGATTTTAGGATCATTAGCAACTATAAAGTGGATTCCTTTGCTATTTAGCAGGATCCCTCTGAGCCTTCACATGGTGACCTCTTTGTGAGCCGAGTCTCTCTGTGAGCCCTCACACGATGGTGCCGGCCAAGACCCTACATGCAGAAAAAGCCAGTCCATAGAATGTAGGTCACTTCTGATGAAGGTACATTGTTGCCCTTTCCAGGGTGTGAGGGACCTGATGGAGTTGAGCTGCCATTGGGAGGCTGTTTGGTATCCTTGAGAGGTGGTGCATCTCAGTAGCTCAGCTGTGTTTTCTATTGTAAGCAGCCCAGACTTTGGACAGCAACAAAAATTAGATTACTTTTGGTGAAAAGGAAACCCTGCTGTTGTGTTCCATGCATAGTTTCCACGAGGGGGCAAGAACAGAAGCTGTACCAAGTTATCCTGTTGACTTGATAGATGCTCTGTCTCAACCAGTACTCAACAGCATGGCAAGAAGTATTTTGCAAATATTGTTCAGGTTTCAGCTGCAGGCAGCATTGCCTTGCTCTAGATCTTAAGCATTCATGATACAACTTACCCACTGGAAAGTACAGCATTCCACAAGGCATTTGTCCCTAGTAAAGATTCTTCTAGTATGGGATCTACCACATCATTTGACCCAAATAGCAAGATTACTAAAATCTATCCTGACCCCACTGTGGAGCCCTTTCTTGTTCTAGGATTGCTTAAAAAAAACCTGAATTATATTACTCTAACCAAGGGTAGAATATTTTCAAAGTTCATTCACTTGTCTTTACTTAGATGTCCTGACATGGCCTAAAAACAAGGGGTCATACCCTGAAATCTTTTGTGGCATTTATCTTTCACGCTCTGGAGCTTTTGACATATTTGCCACTTCTTGCTCATGGGGCCTCATCCATATGATGTTAGTGTCAGTATGACGGAATATCCAGGGGTCCAGGTGCCTCCAGAGTTGGTTCTGACAACATCATTAACATCAGGTTGGGCAAGACCATGGTGTGTGCTGTTGTCCACTCCATGTGAATGCTGACTACTTCTGACCATCTGTGTATTGGTTACTAGAAAGAATGCATTTTCTAGAGTTACAGCTGTATCCCACGTACCCAGGCTGGGAAATTCTACTCCAGTGACTATGCTGAACCTGACACAGCAGCCACAGTTGGGACTACCACTTGGATGAATGTGCAGGACTCCATTATCAGTGCCATGGTCTCTAATTTTGGCAGGGGCCACACTGTGAACTAAATCCCCTTATGACAAGGTTCACCTCTCTACAAAGGTGACCATAAAGCCTAACAAAATAAAAAATTAAAGGGGAGTCAAGAGATCACAGAACTGGAAAGTTACAGCACAAATTTCCCCAACTTTAAAAAATAATAATTTTTAAATGAAGGATTATAAGGTGATCAAATACTGTCCTTTATTACATAGTCACAGATTTTTATTTTTTCTTTTCATGGAGTGGCAGGGATAAGCTGAGTGCTGTGTGCCTGCTTGGAACTTCATACCAGGACTTCCTTTCCCCTCCTTATTTTTGGATGGCAATCCCATAAAAACAGGTCTCAGACAGTTAAATTGCACATCACCAGTATGGGTGGAATTGTCACTCAGATATTGTCAACTCTAATAGACAAATAAGATATATCCCAATGTTGCAGCCCTTCCTACAACAGAGCCACTTTTACACCTGAATTATGTTATGCAGCCCGCCTTCCTTAATGGATAACTCCAAGTATAAAACCCCCTCATTAAGCCAATCCACATGAACCACCTTTACCCAATCCATCTATAATCTTTACTTTAGCTTTTTGCAGTTACCTATTTTCAGATGAGAATCAGAGGCTTTTCAAGTTAGTAGGGCATGTTTTAAGCAGGTTCCCTGGTGATTATTTTGCCCCTGCATTTGTAGTTGGCCACTACCATATTCATTTCTGGAGCTTTTTAATGTACTGGTGCTGTGATGTCTCTCTTAGCTCCTTGAGGATTTCATTAGCAGTGACATTACACTGATAAGAGCTCAGCTGAAGACATTATTATCATTAACAGCTGCAGAGTTGACAACGTCAGGGATGAAGGCCGCCTGGGAACACAAAGAGTTTTAGAGGCTCTGTAGTAATCTCACTGTTTTGTTGTTTTTCATTCTCTCCTCAGTCTCCCCCAGATATGTCCTTCCCAGCTTCGATGGCTGCACAACATTTCCTTCTGAAAGAAGAGAAGCGAGCAAAAGAACTTGAAAGACTTCTAAATACACATATTGATGAACTGCAAAGACATACAGAATTTACTCTTAATAAATACACCAAACTAAAACAAAATAGACATATATGAGCTTTTAACATTTTTTGTTTGCTTCCCCCACCCAAAGATAAAAAGCTCTGGCAAAATATTTACAAAGCTGATTCATGAAACTGAAAAATTTTGTTCTCTTTTCTTGAGTAATTTCTGTAAGGCAGCTAGAAAATAGTAAGTATTTTGTTTGATAAAGCCGTTTGAATTTCTGCATTCACATGCTAAGTTCTGCTGTAGAGTTATTATAAAATAAACATGACTATTCCAAAAAAGACTTTTTTCTTCCAGTCCAATGAAGAACAGTTTGAATTAAAAATGCAGGGTTTTTTTCCACTCAAATCATTTAGAAACCCATTTCCTCTGCAGCAACTCAAGATGAGGATAAGGGAAGTGCTGTGCCCAGAATACAAGGGAACCAAGTACAGCTCAGTTGTATTAGGTGTGAAACTCAAGGACTTTTTTAATGAAAAAATTTAAATATTTTGAACTATGTAACCATACTAGGAGTTCATTTAGGAAAAAGACATAGGTTTACTTTTACATGCACTTGCAATGTCTGTTTTAATTTCTGAAAGGTGTGGAATGCACAATGTACACACTTAAGATACACGTGTCAGACATTGATGTTTCCGTGTTAGTGCTAATCGCGTTATGGATGTGAACAAGTTAAAATAAATATAAACCATTACTGTTGCTAATTCTCTTTTGTAATCACCTCTGTTTTTAATACAATGAAAAAATGCAAAGTTCAATGGACTCAAAACATAAATGTTGTTTGTATAGAACAGTAACAGGATGGCATAGTGAACAATAAAATTAAAGTTACAAATATACAAGAATGATATTCAATATTCTATTCTTTCTTTGAAAATGGTATATATAGCCAGCTATATGGAGATTGTGAAAATTCAAGGTAAATCTTACAGCTTTCATCATTTTCTTTCTTTAAAAAAAAAACAAACAATCTCAACATACTGAAAGAGTTAAAATGCCTTCAGATAAAAAGCATCATTTTCATGTTAAAAATAAGAGTATTATTCACTTTAGGTGACACAGGCATGTGTATTTATAGCTCTTGATGTTTGCAAAGGTCTTCTTAATTTAGGTTCCTATAACAAAAATATCATGAACGCTGTGGCTTGAACAACAGACATTCATTTCTCACACTTCTGGAGGATGGGAAGTCTAAGATCAAGGTACCAGCTGAGCTGGTGTCTAGTGAGGCCCAGTTCCTGGCTGGAGAAACACACTTTCTTACTGTATTCCCACATGATGGTGAGAAAAAAGTTATCTCTACTATAAGGACACTAATCCATTACATTTATGGGGGCTCCCCCAATGACCTACTTAATTCCTAAAGATCTGACATCTTAATGCCATCCCCTGAGGGTTGTGATTTTGAGAGGACACAAACACTTATCCCATAAAATCTAACATAGCATTATTCTTTTAAACTAAAACAAACCTGTGAAGTCAGTAAGGCCAGTATCCTTGATCTGGGAACCAGGGCGGTTATATTCTCATGGCAAGCAAGACAGTCAGAAAGGATACCCTGCTTTCTGATTCCTGGCCCTAGTTCTTATTACTTCCCAGTGTCACTTCTTATAAGTAAGCAGATGGTGAACAGACACCAAGCATGGCTTTGAGTGAACCCACAAAGCCCCACGTGAAGAAAAGCTTTGAGTGAACCCACAAAGCCCCACGTGAAGAAAATAATGGGATTAATGTCACTTATAAGTTATTTACTAATATTTAGCCTGCACATGAAGAAAATGAAATATTTTTTCAGTGTTATCTTTAGAAGGTGGGAAGAAAAGGTACATTTAGGAAAAGGGCTGTCCATAAATTCTTTTCATGTCCCTTCTTTCTTTTTTTTTTTGGTGGTACTGGGGTCTGGGGTTTGAACTCAGGGCCTCATGCTTGCTAGGCAGGTGCTCTACAACTTGAACCACTCTTAATAGCCCTCTTTTTATGTCCCTATTGCAAATGGAAACAATGAAGAAATTTATGTGATATATAATGGATGAAAAATGTTTGCTGAAATAAAGATCTAGGCTACAGTTTAATTAGAACTTAGAAGAGACAAAAAAACATAGGTGTGGAGTGCATCTAGGACTAATAGTGGATTGATTTGCCCCTGTGAATCATTGCATCAAGTCCCTAGGAAAACTAGTTTTAAATCACTAATTCAGCATTCCACTTAATGCCAGCTTTCTTTGAACCATGGTTTTCATTATTTTTAAAAGATTTTTATTAGCATATGTTAGTTGTACAGGGGTTTCATTGTGACATTTTCATATTACAGTGTACCTTGGTTAGGTTTAGTTCATTTGCCCATTTCCTCATTGGGTCATTGATTTTTTGGAAGTTTAGTTTTTTGAGCTCCCTATAAAGTATGGTTATTAATCTCTCCTCAGTTACAGAGCTGTAAAAGATTTTCTCTCACTGTGTGGGCTCTCTTCAGTCTGGTGACTTTCCTTTGCTGTGCAGAAACTTAGATTTCATGTAATTCCATTTGCTGACCTTTCTCTTAATTGCTGGGCTATTTGAGTTCTATTCAGGAAGTTATTGCCTATGGCTATATGTTCCAGTGTTTTTCATAATCTTTCTTTTCAAAAAATTTCATGCCTTAAGATCTTTGACCCACTTTGAATTGATGCTAGTATAGGGTGAAAGGGAACTCGTTTCAGTTTTCTGTATACAGACATCCAGTTTTCCCAGCACCATTTGTTGAAGAGGCTGTTTTTCTCCCAATGTATGTTTTGGGCTCCTTTGTCAAAAAAACAGATGACTGTAGCTGAGTGGACTTATGTCTGGGTCCTCTGTTCTGTTCCATTGATCTTCATGTCTGTTTCTGTGCCAGTACCATGCTGTTTTTATTGCTTTGGCTCTGTTGTATAGTTTGAAGTCAGGTATTGTGATGCCTCCAGCATTGCTCTTTTTGCTCAGTATTGCCTTGGCTAATCCAGATCTTCTGTGCTCCCATATGAACTTTAGGGTTGATTTTCTATATCTGTGAAGAATGTCATTGGAATTTTGATGGGGATTGCATTGAACATGTAGATAGATTGCTTTTGGTAGTATGGCCATTTTCACAATGTTGATTCTACCAATCCATGAGCATGGGAGATCTTTCCATCTTCTGTAGTCTTCTTCAATTTCTTTATTTGGTGATATACAGTTTTTGTTGTAGGAGTCTTTCACTTACTTTGCTAAATTTATTCCTAGGTATTTTTCAAGGAATTTTTCATTGTAAATGAAATTGTTTTCCTATATTCTTTCTCAATCTGCTCATTGTTGGTGTAGAAGAGCTATTGGGTTTTTAATATTGATATTATATCCTGTTATTTGCTGAAGGTATTTATGATATCTAAGAGTTTTTGGTGTCATTTTAGGGTCCTTTATATATAAGATCATATGACCTGCAAATAGGGATAATTTTGATTTCTTTCTGTATTTGAATTCCTTTTATTTCTTCATCCTGTCTTATAGCTCTGGCTAGGAATTGAAAAATATATTGAGTAAGAGTGGAGAGAGTAGATACCCTTTTCTCATTTCTGACTTTAGAAGAAATGGTTTTAGTTTTTCTACATTTAGTATGATGTTGGCAATAGGTTTGTCATATATCATCTTTATTAGATTGAGGTACATTCCTTCAATTCCTAGTTTCATCAGAGCTTTTTATCATGAATGGATGTTGAATTTGTTAGACTTTTTCTGCATATATTAAGATTATATGATTTTTGCCTTTAATTCTTTTATATGCTGTATTACATTTATCACTTTGCATATGTTGAACCATCCCTGCACTGCTGGAATAAAACCAACTTGATCACGGTGTATGATCTTTTTGATCTGTTGTTGAATTCAGTTTTCCAGTACTTTACTGAGAGTTTTTGTATCTATGTTTATTAAAGAGATTGGCCTATAAGTCTGTCTTTTTGTTGTTGTGTCCTTGCCTGGTTTTGGAATGAGTGAAATACTGGCTTCATAGAATGAGTTTGGTAGGGAAAAGTTTGAGGAGTGTTGGTATTAGTTCTTCTTTAATGGTCTGGTAGAATTCAGCAGTGAATCCATCAGGTCCTGGGCTTTTCTTTGTTGGGAGACTATTAATGTGTCAATCTCATTGCTTGTTGTAGATCTATTTAGGTGATTTATATCCTCTTGGTTCAATTTTGGTTGGTAAATTGATCTAGAAACTTACCCATTTCTACCTGATTTTCCAGTTTGAGTATAAGTTGTTTGAACTATTCCCTAATGATCCTCTGGATTTCATTGGTATTTGTTGTGATATCCCCTTTTTCATTTCTAATTTTGTTAATTTGGGTCTTTTCCCTTCTTCTAGTCAGATTGACTAAGGGTTTATCTTTTCAAAAAACCAACTTTTTGTTATGTTGATTCTTTGTGTAGTTTTCATTACTTTCTGCTTAAAGGCAGGATTCAGTATTCAAAATTAATCATATGTTTAAGTCTAAGATAAAAAGCAGTATTTTAAAAAAGTTAAGATAAAAGGCAAGCAGCTCTAACTGAAATTGAAAGGAGGAAGGGAGACCTGCCTGTTACTCCCGTCCTCCTACCCTTCTGCCCTCCATGAGCCAAAGGCGTTCCATAGAGCAGCTACCTCAGAGGTTATCATGGAGCAGGTGGAAGGAAAGGCATATTTGCTGGTATCACCTTAGAACAGAGCACATTTTCCCACAGAAACCATACAATGAATAATGTTTATAATCTCTCTCATGCTACAAAAACTAGTTTAGCAATGTTTCAAACAGTGAAGCCTTCTGTAAGGCCAAGCAGAGAACTAAAGACATCTTGCAAGCTGCCTGACTGGCCCCAGTGACAGACTGGAAAGCTTTATGTCTCTAAGTTTCGCAATACATGAGGACACATTAGATCTGTTGGAGACAGGTTTCCAAGCCTTTGGCCCTGTGATCCCAAACCTTACATTTCTGAGGATTGTTGTGAGAATTAAAAGAGTTAATGTACACAGGGTGTGAAGCACAGAGCCTGGAACACAGTGTTTGGTTCATACTAGCAATAAGCACTTGTCATTCTTGTCCTCTGAGGCATTAGCTTCAAGTCCAGAAGAAAGTTAAATTCATTTAATACTAACAAATTTATTAAGAAATAATTTACATACCATAAATTCACTCATTCCAAGGGTATAATTCAGTGATTTTTTACTGAGTATAGAGTTGTGTAACCATTGGCAAAACCCACCTTAAGAACATTTCTAACACCCCCATGAGATTCCGATGGCCTGTTTGCTGTCATTCCAAATTCTTATATGCAAAATACCTGGGCATCTCATATAAACGGATTAATATAATATGTGGGTTTTTGTATCTGGCTTCTATCACTCAGTATGTAGATATTATAGCATACGTCAGTGTTTTTATTGCTCGACAGTATTCCATCATATGAATAAACTAGTATGTTTTACTTATCTATTTCACCAGTCAATGAACGTTTATTTGAGCTGTTTCAATTTCTGAGTAAAGCTGAGAGGAATATTGACATATGAGTCTCTGTGGACATATGTTTTCATTTTCATTAAGTAGTTTCTTTGGCATAGAGCCTCTGATCGTGTGGTACATTCGTGTTTACCTTTGAGAATAAAGCTGTCAGACTCTTTTCAGATACAGCTGTCCATTCTGCATTCCTGCCAGCAGCTTGTGTGGTTCCAGTTTCCCCTCATCCTCTCCCACACACCTTGTCATCTTTCTTACAGACATGTCAGCATGTGTGAACTGGTACTTCATTCTGATTTTAATTTGTATTTCTCTATTGACTAATGATGCTGGGCATCATTTTGT